ATGCATTACGTATATGGTCTTGCCGACGGTAATGGTGAACAAAGCAGGTGGATTTATCACCAGAGGTATCTCAATCGTGCTTTGTCAGATAGTCGAATCTTTTCTAATATTCATCGTCATCTTGTTGAAACTGGTTCTGTCCGAAAAGGAACATCTTAATAATAGTTTTGCAAGTTAGACAATAGAACGGTTTTTACTTTTTTACTCAAAAATGGCGCATCAAAGGAAAACAATTCAAGAGAAATCATTTGTTTTAAATTGAACGATGAATTCAAAAGTAATTTTTATTCGGCAAAAAACCATTGGCGTACGATTTTTTTCTTAAAAAATATCGAAGTCAATACCCGTACGCACGCCACTGTTAAAGCTAAAAATTATTGTTGCATTGAAAAATATGCAACTTTATTAACTTTTACTACGTACTAAATATCAGTGAAATATCTGAAGCGGTTCTGAAAATATTAATTAATTTCCATTTTTTTCCTAAAACTTCAACACCCCGAGTTTTTGTAAGGAAACATTTTTGGATCATAGTTTATAAAGCAAACTAACATTAATTTTTCATGTAGATTCAGACCCTTAAATATTCGTATATCATTAAGGAACACCCTGTAGATCGGAAAATCGCTGGTAGAACCGCTTCTTTCTCATTTTTAACTTCTTTATAGCAACTACAGACCTTCGATACATACGGTCTTCTTTCGCAGCTGTTCCTGTATGAAACTAAGCAATTTATTCTGTAATCCATACGTTTTACTTCCCCGCCACTGGCGTCGAAGTATTGTTCCGATCATTTTCAGAAAATTTGTTGCAAAGGTTAAAAATTGGTGGTCGTATGAGGTGCGGGAGGTTAGATATCAACTTTTGCTGCTAGCAATTTATACATTTATACAATTCTATGCACCTATTAGACATATACGATCGATATCGTGCTGGAGAACTCATCGAGTGTACATCTGTCTGCTTCGAATGCTGCGTGTATACGTGTATGCAACGCCGTGCTGGTCTTGCGAATGCCGCGGCAGGCAAAGTTGCCGAGTGGTCGGTAATGTTGGTAAGGCGGCAAGCTACGTCGCAACGTTTTCAAATCTGTGGGGACTGTGGTCTAATGAACCAGTTTGACTGACATGATCCATTTGATTTCTTTGTTATACATGTGCGTGGCTAACTTTTTTTTAAGAGCAGAATATGATAATTTACGAATTGATGGCAGCAATGCGTAGGAAGCGCAGAGTCAACCTGCTTGACGTCATTTTTGTTTTTATGTTTATCGCTCTCTGTAATAATGGCTCATCAACGATATTTGTGGATAACTTGATATTTAGCTGAAAAAATGTACTTTTGATTAACATAAAATTAACCGGTATTGTTTCAATATTGTTTTCATCGACGGTAGCTCTACGTATTGGGAATGACGTCATTGAATAATAATTTTGCAGAAATGCGCACAGCTTATTCTAGTTAATCATGACTGATAAAACAGTACTGAAGCAATGCTGTTTTTCTCAAAAATAGCTTGTAAAAATTACTGGATAAATTTAATTTTTACCTTGAAATAGTTCTATCCATAAAGATGATATGTTATAGATTAATGCTAGATCAATTATTGGACATGACGTCATAACCGCTCCATAACAATAAACAAACCATTTTTATGTGAACATGAACAGGACCCCAACCATTAATCTTGGAACGGAGGCCCACGCAATGTCAACCTGGCATGAAGGATTACATTTCAGCAAACATAAATAACATTCTGTTGTACGATTTGCATATTGCTCCTTTTTAACTCTGTACGTTATTTATTTGGTCTTATCGTTGACATGCTTCCGTGTGGTACGAATGCTCTCTATGTGTAGAACACTGTTAAGGTACATGGTAACGTCGTAACGTAATGGAGGTTTGCAGAAAACAGGATTGAATAATTGTGGTCAATTGGACCTTCTTCCTAACATCTTAGTATCGTAGTGTCGTTGAAAAGACCTTAGGTGTCTCTCCTGTCGCTGTCAAAAACGGCCGCGGAGAAAGACGAATGTAAATTCCCCCAGTACAATGATGAAAGAGGTTTTGGCGCTCAGCAGCAGCCGATGTTGTCACGTACTCTGCCAGCGGCAGCAGATATGATTTTCAATCGTAAAAATTATACTATTCCGATATAATCTGGTGTAGTTTGTGTGGACCGATAATAAAAAGAAATGTGTTTGCCCAAAAACAAGCGACGAAGTACTGATGACTATTTATTTATGAAAAAGTTTTAAAATAAACTTGTATTGGTGGAAGTATTTACAATACACAGAAAAATATTTATTTTTGCCATGTATTCTTTGCTGCTGCGATATTCTCAATCCATTCCATTGTCAATGTAAATACTGTTACAACGCCGCAATTAAACCTGACACTTCGGCGACTCCTCAGCTAGGATGCTTCTACGAACACGTCGAGTTTTCAATGTGTAAGTAGTCGGTAGTTCCAATATTTTAAATCCCTAGAAAAGCTAGTTATAAAAATTGTCGGCAACCAGACGCTCCTTACTTGAAAAATATGCCCCTCTCCACAAGGTGATTCATAATTACATGACAACACATACATTTTTTAAATAAATTTGTTTAGAATGAACGGAGAATAAAAGCTATTAGTGTAAAATAGTTTAGTCTTGGAATCAAAAGTAAATATTTATAGTTTATTCGAAATACTTCCACCATTACAAATTTATTTTGAAGCTTTTACATAAATAAATAGTCATCCGTCGCTTCTATTTATTTACGATTGCAAATAATATCTGCGGCATGATACCTGGCAACACCGGCTGCTGCTGAACACTAAAACCTCTTTCACCGTTGTACTAGGGGAATCCACATGCGATTTTTTCCGCTGAAATGGCGGTCGTGCTTGACACTGACATAGCTGATTGTTAACTAAGCTGTGCCAATATTTCCAAGGAAGTCCGACATATCAGTACCATCCGCCTATCAGCTACAACATGTCTATATAACTCATAATGGTGGAATAGCAGGTGCTAAATCTCGCCCCATGTAATGTACCATGTTTTGGTCAATAAAGACGAATATTATTATTATTATTATTATTATTATTATTATTATTATTATTATAAAATGATGTATATTGAAAAACCCCTATCAAGGTACTAATTGCATAGAGAATTCTTCCAAAGTCAATTATGAAACTGGGGATATACACTCCCATTACAACGGAAATGCATTTGTGGTGGTGCTACCTACTTGCGAAGTATGGAAAAACGAAAGTTCGTATCCATCCGTTTATTAAATCAAACAACACTTACATGACTGATCCTATCAACTTCAAGAATACTTACCGAACGTCAAATCCGCTTTGTCTTCACTTTTCCATTAACAGCTGTGGAAATACTCTGAATCAAAGGAAAACCCTCCAATTCGGAACAATTTGTCAGGACCAAACAAAAAAAAATTAGCTTAACATCTAAAGTCGGAATAGGGCCTGAAATTTGTGCAACCCCCATTTTGAGTTCATAATCAGCACCGGCTCATCGCAACCACCATTTTTAAAGTGGTTGCACATTCATCCATAATTTTAAAACCTACTGGTTTGTTATTTGGAAATGCATTGCAAGATTAACGGGATAGAAAAATGAAAAATACATCAAATTATTGGGAAATTATTAAATTTTAATGATATAAACAATCAAACAAAACAAAAACCAGGAACCCATTCAAAATATTTATTAAAATAAAAAACTCCAAAAGCGTAAATTTACTTAGAGTGTAGGTTATTTGGAATATAGTATTCCAAAATATAATCAATTTTTTTGACAATAGTTTTCACCTTTAAAAGAAAAAGAAACTAACAAGTTTCTCAACTTTGTAACCTTTGTACAGTTGGTAATTAATATAACAAAATAGCTTATAATTTTCTTAATCATTAAGTAATCAGTCACAATAATCACAAATCACTATTTCGCCTGAACTTATAGTTTAGTGTTCTTACAATAATCACAGATATTCACACTGCATTCATAACCACTACAAGCAGCGCGAAGCCACAATTCGCACATAAGCACTGTACCTATTCCAAATTAACAACATGACATCATAACTTAAAATTCCAAATTACATTGTTATTTCTAAATATACTCACAAAGTCAAAATAAAATTGTTAACTAACAACGACACATAACTGTTCAAATAATTGCAATGGGGATTTTTCGTAACATATTATGAATGATTGCATTCTTACCGAAAAAGTTTTCAAAATTCTGTATGGCTGGTACCAGGAAATGTCACTGTGGAGTCGAGATAACTAACTATTCCAAGTTACCTGCAGTATTCCAAATATGCTGCGCTTCCCCCATACATCTTTCCACAGAACGATGTTTTTTAAAACTTGTGGCCAGTTTTCCGAAAATATTTCGATGGACCGTAAATAGAGGAAGATCAAGGCCAGCACTGTGTTGTAACTCATGCGGTCTTGCTTAAACTATTATGATTATCCAGTGATATTTCTTAATTCCCCATAACGACAAATAATTCTGACGGATCTGTCAACGCCAGGTAGACATCGCCGTATTCTTTTTTGGTTTTTTGTACGCTACAGATTCATTTTTTGCTTGCTAATAACTCTTTCATTTAGCAAGTTTTGCTACATTTACACCCGATTCTTTATTGACAATGTTCTAGTCTAGACTAATACAAAGATGTCACTTGCTGCTCACCCTAGTAGACGTCAAAACGTGACGGATATTCGTGCAAATAGGATTTACCCAGCCTCCCCTTAAAACCATTTTCTTTTTGGCTGCGATGTCAGTACTTCCCATCCAAAATTTGACGTCTGACAACAGTGTCAGTGGACTACGCTACCTTTCACGGCAACCTACCCATCTCTTCACCGTTCCCGATCTAGAGCCATGGGTCACGTGACTGGGGCATCGACCAATCAGCACACAGTTGGTTCGCTCGTCGGCCAAGAAACGTCGCGATTCGCGATCACGCCAGTTTGAAACGAACTGTGTGTGAGGAGATACTGTCGCGTTCTCCGCGTCTGGAAAACACGTAACATCACGTAGCGCTAAGGGGTATGTACACAAGTACACCCTCATGTTGACTGTACGAGACGGTACGACCGCGTAGTATTTCGTAGTGACGTGATCGTTCGAATGGTTCCTTCGGGCTTTGTGCATTATCAAAGGTACTTGTTACAAGTTTAGTGCGTCGGGTACTGCATTGTTCTACATAGTACCGGTTACAAATGTGTCGTTTTCGTTCGTTCAGTTGGTCCTAAGGGACTGCAAAGGTCGTATCGGTATGTCTGCGATGGAGGAGTTGTTTACAGAGCTTCCGGTGCCGCTTTTGAGCACGGCAGCGCTGCTCAGGCACCACCATCAACATACTAGGTAGGTACAACGGTAGGCTGAAGTACTACCGAAACAGTGTTGCCAGAACGCGAGAGTATGGTGAATACGTTGTTTCGTTCAACGTACTGGGTGCTGCCCGCACAATAAAACGGTCAGGGGTACGGCTACTCGTGATGGAACAAGAATTTTTGGTTGTCGAAAACAATGTGTGAGATTAGTAAATTAACAAGCAATTTCGGTTGCTTTTGGATTATTTTCTGCTTCATACAACATAAGTACCTGTGTGTTATGAGCCAGCCTAGATAATAAATGGTAGACTATCGAGCTTAATGGTTGATGATAAGAATCTGTAAATAATTGCTTGAAGAGCTTGTATTTAACATTGCTTCACAAGGTTGAGTGATTAAGGGAAAACCTCAGTGAGGAGCAATTTCTTCAAATTACAAGATGTTGTTTGTATTATCATATAGCACTCAGATCTGACGATTGTGTGAACCCCATGTAGAGCGCAAAATGAAACATAAACAGAAATATGACGGTTGGAAGAATGAGTATATTGGCATCTGCAAAAAATTTATTATTTATGAATTTGCATAGAGTGATTATGGCGAAGCTACAACCATTGTAGAGATTTTACAGATATACAAACGCTAATCTACTTCCCAATCACAGTTTCATACACCAGGAATTCAGCTGTCAATCCAAAAACCTGTCAAAGTACTGTCAGATTGTCTAGATAAAGAAAAAACTTATGAGAATAACTATAGGGCAGACCTCATTAAAGGCCGTATCCCGTATCGTCAGTCGTTCCTACAATTATTGTAGGTCGCCTTTATGGCCTCCTTGATTTTGATAGTTTTGCTTATCCTTCAGGAAGGTAGGGGTATTTTTAGATTTTTGCTGTTTCGTGTCAGCAGGTTATATTTTCTTTTTTAATTCTAACAAATCTGGCTGATAAAACTTGATTTTTATTCTGTTTTATCTGCTTGAAATTTCTTAATATTCGAAAAGAAAACATAACCTCACAATAGTAGAGCTCTGACGGTGACACGGAACATTAGAAACCTAGAAATATCCCAGCCTTTCCAAAGGAGAGAAAATACTATGAAAATCAATCAGGCTATAAAGACAGGAGGAGCGACAAAATCATGGATTTATAGTTAGCTGGGATACTTCTATAAAGATTTGCATGCAACATTATACGAGAAAAAACTTTGGAATAGCGAGGTGCAACGATGGGGAACTCTAATTTTCGTTGTATATCCAAGGGTTCTATTTTGAACTTCGGTGGAGAAAAGTAGTTTTTCTGTCAGACATTTAGGCTTAGACCATATGTGAATCTGACACAGTTGTTTAGAACTACTTGCAAACGCCATTTAGTGAGCTGGTCCAAACATGACTGGTAAAGAATGTTACCCTAATCTAGGATTGATAGAACAAGAGCGTCAGACAATTTTTGCCTCAATGCCGATGGCAAAACACGCCTATTCGCGTATAGAAATGCACAGTTTCAGATAAGACTTCTGTATCTAAGCGTATGATTTATTCGATCACTTTAGAACAAAATGTCTTGATTTTGGATTTAGATGAATTGATCATTAGATTATGTTTTAAATAAAAGATGTGAACTCCATCAAAGTTTTCTTGTAGTTCGATGGGGGTGATGCTCCATATATATGTATATATATATTATATATATGGAAAATAACCAGGGACCCAAAACAGTCCCTTGTGGAATACCAGATATAATGTCCGTAGATTTAGAAAAAGTATTCACGACGACGCATTGGGATCAATTTGCCAAATAGTCAGTGAAAAACGATATAGAACTATTGTCAAAACCAAAAACTGTGTCTTAGCTAGAAGCACCTGATTATTCAATTTGTCAAACGCTTTAGAATCGCTTGAGACTTAAATGGAGGCTGTATTTTTATCTTGAGCTCGAGTCGTGAAGTAACATTTGCGACAACCTCATTGAGTCTCTGGCAATATCCTGCACGCTCCGACATATAAATCATCTGTTGTTGCGCCATTTTCTCTTAAACTTTATACAGTAACGGAAGAAAGCTTATAAACCTCAAATCAGAGAGAGTTTCCGGCTTACTATTTTTGGGAAAATGTTTCCATGTTTGAGAGAAATAACCATTCTCTAAGCATAAACTTGAACTGTGTCATGTGGACAATAATACGAGCACACATATTTAACATGTCAAAGCTCATGCCATCAGAACTACTAGTACAGGATTTAGTCTGCTGTATGTTTTTGTAAATTACACAAAGACCGATAACTTTGAAGGAAAATTTAATCATCTAGCATAAATCAGCATTGGACAAACGTAATGTGTACTCATGGAACATTTGAGAGTGGTTGATATCTCAACTAAATATAAACACAACATGTTCTTCAAATATCTTTTTGCGTATGAGCATTGAGCAAACACTCATCTTTTTGTGGTTCGCAGGACATAAAAGACATCATTTCTTGATGTGGCAGGTATATTGGCTATAACGATTAGTAGTTTATTCTACATAAAAATACGTGAATCAAGTTATTAAGCACTATATCAGCATTATATCTGGAACTGTAATATTCAGTGGTCCAACTATGAGGAAAGAACCATACAATTTCATCTACATGTCAAATACGATGCTGTCACTGAGGACTGAGGGTTCAAACGTATTTTGACAGAAAACTGTGTTCTAGCAGAATCAAATCTAACCGTTTAAAACTAGTGTTTTGACAGCGCATGTGCGTTGACGGAGAAACAGATCTAAGGTAATAGTTATAGGAATCTTCCAGGAAAAATTCAGGTTTATACTTTTTAATGCAGCCCAAGTTTTCTTTGGCTTAATCTTTGAAAATAAGAGAAGAAGTAAGCTGCTTTTCCACATCATCTAACTGTCAGTACGGCAGAGTTACTATGTGAAAAACCTATATATGCTGTCAAAAAACTGACATAATGTCAACTTACTGACAGATAGCTGATAGTGTACAAATAGTTCATTACGCTATTGCTCGCTGTCAGCGTCATCCATGGCGCCACCTATCGAGGAATCACTCAACGACATGCCAGCGTGCTTTGTTGGTTGCAGAACGCCGGATGTATCTCTGAGATATGAAAGAAAGAAAATTGGTTGAGTAGCATGATCGTATCTGGATGATTATAGGTATTGGTTTGCATATGGATAAAATCGGTGATATCTGCTATGTGAGAAAATTATTATGAAGTATATCTATTAGCTGTACAAGAGACGGGTTTTTTATGTGTTGTCCTTTCTCAAGAGAGGTTATGTTCAAAGTTATATCTAAGGCTTTATTTTAAAAAATAAATATATTAACTTATCTTGAAAGCCACATGATAGAAAAATTACGCATCACACACAAAACATTTTCGCAGAGCCTCACAACTAGGCGCGGATTTGTATTTCCTACTTACTATTATATAAAATATTGATGACTGGAAATAATGAAATAATATGAAATGTTCCACGTTTGATAAATATTCCTGTCAGTAGTCTATTTTCTCACGTGTTAGTTGTAATATAAATTCACCAGCCAGGGATTTTATTTTCTTATCTCTCGCATTTTTGAAATCAGCAACTTTGCGTATTTCCAGGATGAATAAGAAAAAATGGATGCGCTTCTAATTTCTAGCTTTGCATACCTCCATGTCAAGTAAGTGTACTTGAGACAAGAAGCCAAGGGAATTATCATCAACACAGATTATTAACACACACATATCCTCACTAAGCACCTACCTCGTGGCTTCGTTTTATACCGGGAAATACTTTGAAATATCTGACTGAAGGGTATATAGATAGGGCATTGCATCCTGCATAATTTACTACATTTCGCCATTCGTTTTCTTAGCGTGATCATCTTGATTTAGATTTGTTTGGTGTTTTATTTCACTTCAAGTACAGTGTTGTGACAGGCTCTGAGAATTCCGGGTCAGATTTCACGTATCTATAAAATGTGCCAGCTTTTGGGGCTTTTTTTCAAGGTTAAACTAATCCAATTCAAATTTTTTTAAATTTATTCCAATTTCCCTATACAATTACTTGTAATGTACTTGTTACAATACAATACTTTACGTCAGAAATGACAATTTTGATTGGTATGTCAAAAATTACATTTTTGACAAAAAGTTTATGGGAATTTTATCAAAACTGTAATTCTTGACATAAAGCGCTACAGTGCTGAGGTTCCGTGAGTCCTGAGTATACCGCATATACAGGGTGTTTCAGTTTATTGTTGCATAACTTTGAGATTCGATAGAACTTTTAAAATTAATGCATAAAGTCTATATAAACATGGGTCGAAAAATGCGTGGCTTCCGAAATACAGGGTGTTTAAATTTACTTTCTAAAATAGTTTTTTTAAATATTTCGAACAATATTTGATGTATAACAGTGAAAATTGGTATACAAGGGTTTTTTGGTATGACAAAACGAACCATGGGCTTAGTTTTACTGTAGCCACTAGAGGGCGCTCTCTACTATACCTGTAGTGTATTAAAATGACCGAAAAAATTTTCTTAGTACAATTTTTTGCTTTTTGAATGAAAAAACTGATTCTTCGCACTTTTCAACATAAAAAAGCTCTTGTGAATTTTCGTTATAGTTAGCCGTTTTTGAGATATTTCGATTTTTAAGGTTCGATGCATTTTTAATTATTTATGATAAAATAACGTTAACAAGTCACTATCTCGATAATTTTTAGAAGTAGACTGTGCCTGCAAATATTTTTGAAATTGAAAGCAGAATAAGGTTAAACGTCAATTAGTTGACAGTTAGTTTTGTTGTCTGTTGAAACCTGAAACGTTTTTTTGCAATTGTGAATGCACGAAATTTAGTTTCTTTTACCTGTTTTTTTTTGTAAGTTTTATAAAAATGCCATTTTTATTCTCCAAACAAGAGTTAGCGGATATTCATTTTGTGTATGGCTTTGTAAATGGAAACGCAGCAGAAGCAGCCAGAGAATACGCACGAAGATTTCTAAACAGACGACATCCAACTCGCTCAGTATTTGCAAGACT